CATGGAGAAAAAAGTTGAAAGCTAAAAGGAAAAAGGTAATTAGGTAGTGTTTGGTTTTTTTATTATTTTTTTATGTCTATTATTTTTTTAAGAAAAAAGAATTTTGCTTCTCTTAATTTTTTTGAAGAAACAGAGTTTTTCTTACATTAAAATTTTGTTATTTATAAAAAATGTATATTTTTCTTTTATTCAATTTTTTATTAAAAAAGAAAGGAAAGGATGGGGTGTACTGCAGGGCAGCACAACCCCTTGTTTTGTACTGCTAGGCAGCACACAACCCCCTACTGTGTGTTGCCTAAGTGTGTTATTAGGCAGCACGCAACAATTATGTGCTACTAGGCAGCACACTGCCAGCTATCATGGGCTTGGAACTTTAGCCAAGTTTCGTGTGGCGCTATAATCTTGTGTTTGAGAGACAAAGCGAGCCTAAATGAAGTTCCTTGAGAATGGTGTGAAAACGTGAAACAAATAGGTATGAAGCAAAACAAAGTACCTAAGATCTAAGCACAAAATAAATTGCATGATGAAAAAAAAATGACTACCTAGGGTGGCTATTTATAGCCTCTGGCCTACTCAAGGTGCAAGTAAAATAAAACAAGGAAATATCTAACCTAGGTTTTCTTGGTGTGCAAGTGAAGTAAACATATAACTAAGGAAATATTCCTTAACTTGGTGAGCAAGTTTTCAACCCTAACTTCAGCCTAAGAGGTGAGACCCCTATGCAGCCCGTGCAGCTCTTGGTTTTGCCCTTGGAGTGCTAATCCAATACTGGTGTGCCCTGTAGGTGTGCAACAACTGTGTGCACCATATGGGTGTATTGTGTTGCGTAGGTGTGCGCACCTTATGGGTGAGCTGGGTGCAACTTGTTGTAACGTCAAGGGTGTGCTGTTGTGCGGTTGCCTCAGTGGGGTGCCTAATATTTAGGCACAAGGGTTCCCCTCGCACACAACACACTTGTGGGCTATGCCGCTGAAGTGGCCGAACAATGCATGCAGCTTGCTCATGCACAGAAAGCCTGGGCACAATCTACACATGCGTGTGCCTTGCACACTAACTTAGCATGCCAGGCCTGCTGGGGCAAGGCGATGTGGATCCCCTTGCAACTTGCCTTGTTGTGTGCACACTGGAACCCCTCGTCTGCATGCTGATCTGATAGTTAGCTGGGGCTAGACTTGCTTGCCATGTCATTCTCTCTCAATTGATTCTAATAACATCCTCGTTGTCTAGTGGAACGCCACTATGGAATTCTAAACTACCATAAATCTTCTGCTAGTTCTCGACTAGCTTCTTCCTCTAGCACTTCCTTCCACCTGATTAAATATTGGTGTTGCGGCATGTAGTTCTTTTGGCACAACACCTTTTTGGCAAAAATGACATCCACCTCCTTCTAGTATGCTAAGCTACACCTATGGGTGCCCTTTTACTCTATCCGTGGCTTGGATCCGCTTTGTTTGCATGTAATGGTTTTAGCATACTTACGAGAAAGACTAGATGGACTTTCGACTTAGGCGGCATATCAAGTTTGTGCCACGGACCAATTCGTTTGATCACTTTGTAAAGCCCCTCGTATTGTCTCAGTAGTCCCTTTTAGAATCCTTTGTCTTTGAGTACAACATGTAGTTTGATGAATACCAAGTCTCCAACATCGAAACTAACTTATCTCAAAGATTGATCAACCTATTTCTTGGTGTGGTTGGTAGCCTTCAGTAAGCATGCACGAGCAAGGTCGAGCTGCTCTTGCCATTCGCATGCTTACTTGTAAGCTGCAGGTGATTCCCTCGTGTATCCGGTAGCAATGTGGCTTTGCGTAAGAGGCTGCTGTCTAGCTACTAGAATGGACTTTTCCCTGTTGCCTCACTACGATGTATATTATGAGAAAACTAAGCAATATCTAGCCATTTTGGCTAGTCAGTTTGGTGGCTCAAGTTAAGTGTCGTAAGTAAGTCTCTAGCATTGCATTAGCCCTTTTGATCTGACCATCTGATTGTGAATAAAAACTGGTCAAGAAATTGAGTTGTGATCCCATCATCTTGAACAACTTGAACAAAAATTTACATATGACGTGTTTGTTGTCAGTTAAAATTCTACTACACAAGTATATGTATCGAATAGACAGTATATTAGCAAGTAGAGTATCAATCGCACAGGGAATTGATCTAAAAGTTTACTAAGTACTAAAATTAGAATAATTTAGTTTTATTCAAATAATTAAAATCTGAATTCTAATTGAACTAAAAATTACTCAATTAAAACTAATTTTATTAAAAATTAAAGCTACAAGATAATTGGGCAAATAGCAAATCAAACAAGCCTATGATTACAATATCCCTTACACTTCATCTGAATCTTACCTCTCTTCCTTAACTTATTTCAATGGGTTGAATTGCTAACATAGAGTCTTAAATTATTTATAAGGGTCTCCCAAATCATCTTATAAAAATATCTATTTTAACCAAAACACTATATTCCTATGTGTATTGAAATTAAAACAGACTCATTAAGTTCAGGCTCTAATCTAGCTTCATATGGCCTATAGGTATATCCCTATCCTATATGCAAATCAATTAATACGATCATATGCTATCCCAATTTTAGTCTACACTAAACTCCCTTTCCCAAGTTTGTTTAGGTTCCTAGATCAATTTAATTGGTGGCCAGGCAATTAAAAGCATTAAGGACAAATCAGAATAAACAATTCAAATCCCATTAAAGATAAGTAAGAAAGAGATTAAAAGTTAGATTACATGTGAGTTCAATTGCAATCCTAGAAAAATAATTTAGCTCATAGAATCTAATAAAAACAGTATCCAAAGAAATTTAGCCATGAGTCCAAGTCAAAGAAAATAAGAAAAACACAAAAGTAAAGAGAGAACTAATAGTTAAAGCTTTGTGATCTTGATTCTCTCTCCAATTCTCTTGTTTCCCTGCTTTGTTTTTGGCTCCAAATCTCTAGAATAATTGCTTGCTGCCTCCTCCTCAAAATCTCTGAAAAATGTCTCTTAAATAGGTTTCAAATAACTTAATTTTCAAAATCCCATCAACTTCTTTTTACTTTTGGAAAGTCGCCCAGCGCTGCGGCCTTACTTCTCTAGCACTGCAGCGCTGAGCTCTCTGGAAATTTTGTTTCTGCTTCCTTTCATCAACGCTACAGCCTTGTTCTCCTAGCGTTGCCGCAGTCCACCAACTTCAAATGTGATTTTTATGCTGAGATGTTCTGAACATGGCAAAGTAGTAAACATAAAAGTTTTCTCCCTACCTCTTAACTTTCCAATGGGTCAGGAATCACATCAAATAGACTTCTGGATTGAAAGATATGCTCCAAATACGGCATCATATTCAGTCCTTGCATGCTGCTGCAGTACTCCGACTTTGACAAATATTTTGACCATGATCCAATCAGAACTGGGTGAATTGATTAAAAATAAACGTTGTAGCGTTCTTCTTATAATTCTAGTGGTCCAAGAATCACCTCATTTGGAGTTGTTTAGAGAGAGATATGGTCAAAATACTGAAGCATATACGAATAAAGTCATCACCATACTTACACTGATTTTCATCAAATGAGCCTTTTTCATCAATTTCCTGCAAAAGCCATAAGCGAAATTAGCAATAACTACTCTTAAAGTAATTTAAAACAAAACAACATAAAATTTAACTAAAATAACTTAAATTAGTCACTTAACAAGTAATCAAACTTAAACTAGAAAAACACCTAAAACGCTAAAATCTAAACCTAAAATCTTAAAGATCTAGCTATTTAAGCCCCCAAAATGTGTCGAAATAACTCTATATAATAGAGTTATCATGTGTGTCGTCGCTCACTATGTTTAATGAATCACGCCAGTATTTAACAACTTTTGTCATGAAGAATTTAGCTGCTTCCGATGCTAGACACTCTCTACTTCTGGTGATGAATGTTGCGTATTTCAAGAAATAGTCCACGATATCCATGATGCTTCCCAATCCATTCACCCTAGGAACTCCCATGATGAAGTCCATGCTCAAACTTTGCCATGGTTGATTCAGAATCTTCCAATGGTTGTGGGAACCTTTCCAGTCAACTTATTGTTTTCTAGGCGTAAGCTTATCAAGTTGCTCAAGTTGTCAATTTCCCCTAGAATGCTACCCTCAATGTTGCAATCAGAAGCAGAGAAGTATTGAAGAGAAACAGAGAGATTTCCTATTGAAGCCAGGAATTTACCATTAATCAATTGGTTTCCATCGAATTTCAATGCATTTAGGTGGCGTTTGGTACATTACAATACAATGTGATTATAGGTAATGTGATTGCAAGTAATGTGATTGCAAGCAATGTGATTGTAGGGAAAATAATATTACAGTGTTTGGTATACAAGCAAAATAATGATTAAAATGTAGGGAAGATAACATTGTAGTGTTTGGTTTACAAGTACTTTACTGGAAATGTAATGTTAATTTTCAAAATTACCCCTAATTATTAAAATCAAGTTTAATATATTTATATTTTTTATTATTAATTTTTATATAATGTCATTTCTTAAATATATTTTTAATATGATATATTTTTTTTTATTATTATTATAATATTTTGTATTTTATTTTAATATTTATATTTTTATTATTAATTTTATATAATATCATATCTTAAATTATTTTTAATGTCATATATTTTATTTTTCATTTATTATTATAATCTTATATATTTTATTTTCATTTCTTTAATATATTTTTTATATTATATATTTATTTTAATTTGTTTACCTATATTATATAAATGTTAATTTTTTATATTATTTTACTTTTATTTTTTATTCTTATCTTATATATTTTATTTTAATTTTTTTATTTTAATTATAACATTATAAAATATTTTTAATAAAGTAATAAAGTTGAAGGGTAAAATTATGTTTAAGAACATTACAAAGTGCAATGTAATGTGATTGCATTGGTTTTGGACTGCAAGTACATTACGTCCCTTGGCTGTAATGTGATTGCTTTGCAATCTTACATTACAGTGGTCTGTTACAAAATAAACACGTAATTTAATTAGATACATTGCAGAGAATGTGCTCCCACTTTCCTTATACCAAACACAACCTTAATTCTCTACAATTAGTCAAAGATGAGAGAAAGCTCGAGCCAGTGGCAGTTAAATTATTATACTGTAGATTGAGCCACTGTAAATATCTTAAATTGCCAAGCCTGTCTGGGATATATCCTGATGCTGCAGATGGAGAATGGCATTGGTCCGCTCAGTTCATTTCCATCAAGATATATTTGTTCAAGTTTGGGAAGCCAGAATTCAGAGCTTAAAGGAAGATGGCCCGAGAGACGATTTACCCCCAGAGAAATGATCCTCAAAGTTGAGCTATTAAATAAGGATGGAGGGATGAAACCAGTGAAATTGTTGGGTCCCATATTAAAGAATTGCAGATGCTGCAGGTTTCCAATCTCATTTGGTAGTCTACCTGCAATCAAGTTACAAATTGTCACCTAAGATTTCATGATATTGTTGTGATAAGAGGTTCCATCATTAATTTTACCTTCCAAAGTTCTGACAATATCTTTAAGTAACAGCCAAAATAACCTTTCAAAATGATATTATTTTTTGTAAATTTAGGTGACATTAATGCCTTAACCTTCTATGATAACTTGATAATGGAAACGTGCTGGTGAGTAGCATACAAAATTGCAGGAGATACTGTAACAAGGAGTGGCAACAAAAAAGTGTATATTATATTACCGCAACATCTAAAGTTGGTGAATCGATTACCAAGAGTACCTGCAAACTTGTTAAATGAACAATCAAGCTCTGCAAGAAGAGCAAGCTGCCGGGGAATTTCACCTACAGAAATAGAGCATTGAAGATATAATGAAGTTTCAGGATCCAGAAGGAAAGGTTCCTAAAAGAACTTTGCCTTCCATAGCAAAGTGCTAATGTTTTCAAACTTTTTTGACTTCTCGATTGTTCCAGTGAACAACAAAAGTAAACATTAAATATATGTAAAAATCTATAATCAATTGATTAAGATGAATTTCTTATAATTAGACTAGTGGAGTATCATAAAATTGAATGCATCAAAAATTATGAAGAAACAGAGAAATT